ATATTATATTATTTTTGTTAAAATAAATACCATATTTCAGTATTCCATCCTTCATATCTGTTTTTTTTCAGAGTTTAAATAAATATATCGTATGGTCAAAAAAAAAAACGTCGAATGCCCTTAGAAATATGGATTGTTTTTATGTGTAAAATGTTACGGTGAATATTATCTACCGGGTGCGTCTCAAAAGTGGCTCACCCCCTATAAGTTTTTTATTTTTTCGGATAAAACAACGAGATTTTGGTATGTTAGTATATATAGTAGACATATATTGGGATTAATTGACGTATTCAATTGTTTTCGGTCACTTCCTGTTTCACCGGAAATGATTACAAAATTTGATTTTTAAATGGCACCCTCGGTATATTTCTACATTATTCGATAGAAAATGACACTCTGAATCAAATGATATATCAGATGTCAAATTTTGACATAGTCACTCAAAAACAAATTCTATTTTAAATTTCAATCTAGAGTGCCAGGGCTGTGTTAAAAACACTAATTTTTAATCAAGGAGCCTTGGAAAAATAGATTTGATCGTTTAATGTTTTGAGTGTCTTGTTCTGGCCGGTTAAAAGATACCCAAATCGTATTTTTAGTCATAACTCAATTTTTTCAAATGGAACGAGGGTGGTTCATTAGCATATTTCGAAAAAGCATTTTTTTACGAATAATTTGATACCACACACTTGGTATTTTGAGTCAAATTGTCGTTATAAACTGCATGTTACAATTTCAAATAAACCAAATACCAAAATGTCAAAAGTTGGCATACGATATGTCATTCGATTCAGAGTGTCATTTTCTATCGAACAAAGTAAAAAAACACCGAGGGTGCCATTTAAAAATCAAAAGTTGTAGTAATTTCCGGTGAAACCGGAAGTGGCCAAAACAATTGAATACGTCAATCAATCCCAATTTATGTCATATACTAACATACCAAATAACGTTGTTTTATCTGAAAAAATAAACAAGTTATAGGGGTGAGTCACTTTTGAGGCGCACCCGGTATATCTAATACAGGGGCGGATACAGAAATTTATTTTAGGGGGGGGGGGGCCCAAATAAAAAATAATGCCAAATATGCCTTATAGGGCGCCATTTTTAACCCAAAAGCCTAATATTTAACCCAATCTACAGAGTTTAGGGGGGGCCCGGGCCCCATGGGCCCACCCCTGTATCCGCCACTGATCTAATATGTTCTATCCTTAAAGTAATTGAGTATATCTGAGTAAACATACCCCTCTATATCAGTTTCCTTTATAGAGTTTTAATAAATATATTGTGTGATCGAAAAATATCGCGGTCAAATTACCTTTTATTTTATGTGTAAAATTATATGGCGAATGTTATCGATAGCTATTATACCGGTTACGTCTCAAAAGTGGCTCACACCTATAACATTTTTATTCTTTCAGATAACAAAACGAGATTTGGTATGGTAGTATATGACATAACTTAGGATTCATTGACGGTATTCAATTGTTTTTAGTCACTTCCTAACTACAAAATCACTAAATATAACTACAACTTCACAACGTGACCTACTAACTTTTGATTTTTAAATGGCAGTCTCGGTATATTTCTACTTTATTTGATATAAAATGACACTCTGAATAGAATGACATTTCATATCTCAACTTTTGACATTTGCACATATGGTTTATTTGAAATTGTAACATGCGGTTCATAACGACAACTTGACTCGAAATACCAAGTGTATGGTACCAAATTATTCGTAAAAACTGCTTTTTCCAAATGTGCTAATGACCCCGAGGATGGATCATTAGCACATTTTTTGTTCTAATTGAAAAACACATTCTCTTATACACAATTTTTTGTTCCAATTGAAAAAAATATAGATATGTTAAAAATATGATTTGGGCATCTTTTAACCGGCCAGAACAAGACACGAATAACATTAGACCATTTTACTACATAAAACTATTTTACCAAGGCTGCTTGATTAAAAATTATTGTTTTTAGCACAGCCATGGCACTCTAGATAGAGTGTCATTTTCTATCGAATAAAGTAAAAAAATACAGAGGATGCCATTTAAAAATCAAAAAAGTTATAGTCATTTCCGGTGAAACAGGAAGTGACCAAAAACAATAATAATTGAATTCGTCAATCAATCCTAATTTATGTTATATGGTATACTAACATACCAAATCTCATTTTTTTTATTTGAAAAAATAAAAAAATTTATAGGGGTGAGCCACTTTCGACAGGCACCCGGTATTTTAGGGTAATTGTCGCCGTTTTTGCACTAATAAGGTATTTAGAACCATGTGATTAAAAATAAGTAATACTTACATTTTTATAATAATTATTTGTTGTTTGGCATCTATAGTTATAAATACCGTACGATGGAATAAAAACTGGGGTCAGCGATGGCTATGAAATGACAATCGATGACATTTCCCATATAATTTTACATATAAAATGACAGCGATCTTCATTTCATAGCCATCGCTGACGCCGTTTTTATTCAATAACAAATATAATATAATATAATAATAATATATTACAATATACAATAAAACATTTACATATAGTTCCAAATATTTCAGAAATTAAATCTCTTATGTCAAGTATAGCAGAATACAATCGAAAAAAGTTGGCTTGGAAATAAAGAAAACTGTCAATTTACTTGTAAATTCGCTATTCAAATTCGTATAGTTTTAGGTCGGATTTCGAAAATATAAATAAATATCTATGCTTTGCAGACCTCATAATCTCAGTAAGAATATTACGATATTTTCGAGAATATTTTTATGTCATACAAGGCCCTTTTTACTTCATATTTATGTAAAATTCAAATTTAACGATGTTATTTCTTCTAAAATCTTTCATTCTAAAATCTAACATATAATTTATCTACATATGAGAAGGTAAGGAAATTAGGAATATTGCTTTAAAACTTTTTAACTGTATGTTGTCTAACATATAATTTATCTACATATGAGAAGGGAAGGAAATTAGGAATATTGCTTTAAAACTTTTTAACTGTATGGTCAACTCATATTACCAGAAATTGTTAAAATAAGAACCGTATGTTACACGAGAAAAAAGAGAATGGTTTACTTGTCGACATTGACAATGTAGTAGATATCAATAGCGAGTTCCTTTCATTACGTTTTTTGTCAAAAGTTTTCTACTAATCTGCATCATATCAGATTCTCTTTCTACTTTATCATTATAATTATATTTTGCACTCTATCTAAAGAGATATACGCAATATTAGCGTAATAACAACTTCAAAATTGGTAAAAATTCTACATTACAACTGCATTATATTATTCCATATTGTATTATAGGTATATCACCTACATAAAAACCAGTTTCTAAACTTTAAAAAATAATAAAATCGGTAATGTCGCATGCACATTCCTCGTTTTTTAAACGACAAACAATAATTATAAAAAATGCAAGAGAAATTGAATGAAAGACTGGCAAGAATCAGTCGTGGTTTCAAGTTACTGGTTGGTCAATTATTAGGTTGATTAATTATTATATGAATATTTTTATCTTGTATCATTCACCTGTATGTCAGATCGTGGATAGCAATGAGTCTGACGACAATAGCTTTACGTATATATTGTTTTTTAGGTATAGTAGGAACAAAAATTTAAAGATTATCAAAACATGCACCTTTCATGCAAAGATAATACACACAGTTCTTATTCTAGTAAAAATCTCGTACACTAGTAATAATCATAGCCTTCTAAAAATATTTTTTTTACAAATTTTGTGGAATATCCAGAAAAGTAACAGAAATTATGGAAGAAATATTTTTATCGAAGATTTTTTAATTATAACGACTATATGTTAGGATTTATATTTCAGGTGCTTGTAGTTATTTTTTGAGATTTATTCCACCAACATTCCTTGGACATAGAACTATTACATATTTTTTAAATCAAGTTAGCTGGGTATGATTTACCTCTATACGAAAGTTCTTCGTTTGTCCGTTAAAAGCCATTAATTTAAAAAATATATAACATTTTTAAGAACTGATATTACGATTTGAATAAGATTTGCAATGACAATGTTTTGTTAGGCGCTTTAAGTTTAGAGTGTCACAAAAAAAAGAAACGGTACGAGAAGAGTGAAAACTACCCCCACCTCTACATAAATTCTGGTAGCCATGCAACAAAGGCACAACATTATCAGGTTACTCATATTGGAGAGAGCAATGTTTTGCAAATACATGGAGAAGGAATCCATGGGGAATTGTTTATTATAGAGATAGAATTGCTTAGTCAGATTGTAAAACCAAAGTTTTTGCAGAAAATATTCTAGTTAGAGAATATTTTGAATTAAAAAAGTTCGGGATTCAGAAGTTTTACTATATTATTTAAATATAAAGGGCGAGTCTCAAATAAGTGCAAATATTTTCAAGGCTGGTAGATCTCGATAAAAGAAAGATATTTTCTCTTTACCGTTTTTCAAATAAGTCCAAAATAACCGAGTTATTTCACTATGAAAATTTGAATAAAATATTTTTTTGCGAACTTTTGAGAACCACTGGAATTTTTCTGGGTTCTCTTTCTTATAAATTTAACCCGCTTCTTATGTTACCATATTATCAACAAATTATGATTTTTAACTAAAAATTAAAAAAAATAAAAAAACATTTTTTCAAAAAAAAAAATTGGCGAAAAAAACTTCATAGACATGTTTCTGGAGTCGAAATATACTACCCATAAAAATCTTTGCACTTATTTAAGACTCACCCTGTATAATAATTTGTTGATAGAAAATAACAATCTAGATTTTATTTATATCCTACATTGATAATATCACCATTCTTTTTAGTCGCCGCTTTTACTTGTGCCAATACGGAAAACTAGCAGCACTTAAACAGCACACAACAACCCTCCTTTCTATCTAAAGAACTTAAAAAAGCGGGCATGCACCTCTAACTAAACCTTTAGAACTAAACAGACGAGGTGGTAATTAGGAAGTGGGGAGAGGTGAACAGGAGAGCACTTACCCCTATCTCGGCGTATCGACGACGGCATCTCGGGGGCGGAAAGGGCGCCGTCGGCGTCGTCCTGCAGCAAAGGGACGCCGCTGACGCTCCTGTCGCCGAATCTTTTATTCATCGCCAATCTGAAAGCAATCGCATTATACACCCTAATGGACCTTTACATTGTTCGGTGGCTTCTGTGCCATCTATACCTACAACATTCGTTAAATTTAAAATGGCAAAAAGTTGAAAAAAACGTTTTTTTGATTGGTTTTACATAGAATAATGTTTATTGAAAACATATACAGTGTGTTCCCGGATTGTCTTTGCAAGGAAAATACTTTTTTATTATTGACATTTTGAGAAAAATGTATTATTCGTAAAAATGTTTGCTTGTTTCTAAAACAGTTAATGCCGTTTATACTTTTCCAAATTTCCATACCGGTTTAGAGAAGATGTCGAAAGTTGACATATGATATGTCATTCTATCGAATGTGTCATTTTCTATCGAATAGAGTAGAAAAATTCCAAGGGTGCCATTTAAAAATCAAAAGTTGTAGTCATTTCTGGTGAAACAGGAAGTGACCAAAAACAATTGAATACCGTCAATGAACCCTAATTTATGTCATATACTAGCACACCTAGAGCCCTTTAATAACAAATAATGGGGACTGTGAAGCAGAGATAAGAAGGGGTATAGCAATGGTACGGACCGGGCGGCTATGATAAGCCTAAGAAAAACATGGGCAGAGAGGAACATAACTAAAATCACCAAAAAGACCCTTGTTCGATCTTTGATGTTCTCCATATTCCTATACGGGTCTGAATCATGGACCGTCAAGAGCGCTGATAGACACCGTATAGATGCATTTGAGATGTGGTGCTGGAAGAGAATGCTCCGTATCCCATGGACAGCTCGAAGAACGAACCAGTCAATTCTCAATAAACTCGGCATCACAGATCAATTATCGAAATTAAGGTGAAGACAACCTTGAAAAACTCATAGTACAAGGCAAAGTAGAAGGTCGAAGACCCAGAGGACGATCACCATCAAAATAGCTTCACCAAATAGCAAATATTACAGGTCATCCATTTCAACCAAATCTCCGAGAGGCGGAAGATGGAAACGATGGAAGATCAAAATCACCAGCTGCACATAGCCATAATGTCACGATTCTTCAGACATGAAGAGACGATGAAAAAGAAGAAGAGACTAGCACACCAAATCTCGTTTTTTTTATCGGAAAAAGTAAAAAAGTTATATGTGTGAGCCACTTTTGAGACGCACCTAGTATAGTTGAATTGTTTTCTAAAGCCTCATTCACAACCTCGAAATTAGTGGAATAAATTAGTGGTTTTAATATACTTAAAAGTATACAATCATTCACGATGTTAAAAAAATACAATATTTAAATATAAATATTTCTTGCCTTATAACTGCTGTTTTGTAAAATTGTCAGCTTTCAAAAATGGTGAAAAACTGAAAATAAGAAAAAGTTATGTTTGTTCGCCGTTATGGGGAAACCAACCACCCTCTCGTTACCGGTTTTGGGGCCTATACCCCATAATCAGACGAGCTAATCGGGCTGGATTTCCCAGAACGGCAAACAAACAAATTACTATATCAACTGGCGACTTAGTTTAGTGTCGGTGAGTTATTAGATAAAGATCTAATAGCGCGAGTACACAGATGGTTTCTCCATAACGGCAAACAAACATAACTTTGTCTTATTTTCAGTTTTTCAACATTTTTGAAAGCTGAAAATTTTACAAAACAGCAGCTATATGACAAGAAATATTTTTATTTAGATATTACATATTGATACTGTTTCACTTTTTATTTTATAAAAAATACAATTAGAATTAATGGAATATCCAATAGCAACACCTTCCGGTAATCAATTATATCCATAGAAAAAGCCTAATAATTATCTTATAAAACAATACACTTTTCATTTCTAACCACAATTTCTCGTGACGGATGATAATCAAAAGCCAAAACGACATTACCTGCAAATTGAAGTATAATTAGCTGCAATACAGCTTCATTCAGAACCTCGCAATTAGTGGAATAAATTAGTGGTTTCAATTACACTTTATACTTTTTAGTTCACGATCATTCACAATGCTTAAAAAATACAATTAAAATTAATAAAATATCCTAGCAACAGTTTGCGGTAATCAGTTGTATCCATGTATCTGGTTCTATCCATAGAGAAAGACTGATATTTAGCTTATTAAACAATCAATTTTTGATTTCTAACCACAATTTCTCTTGACGGATAATAATCAAAGGCCAAAATGACATTCCTCGCAAATTTTGAAGTATAATTAGTAGAAAATTTAAAAGTTTGTTAACTTTTTCTACTAATTGAAAATGACTACCACTAATTTTGATATTCTGAATGCTCATATTAAAATTAAATGGACAAACATCTACGCTAATAATTGAAACCACTAATTTGCAGGTTCTGAATGAAGCTGACTTGTTAACTTTTTCTACTAATTGAAAATTACTACCACTAATTTTGACGTTCTGAATGCTTACATTGAAATTTGAGGTACAAACTTCTACCACCGCTAATTGAAACCAGTAATTTATACAACTAATTGCGAGGTTCAGATTGTAGCTTTAGTTTTAAAAATCAAAACGCGATATATTTCTATGGTAATATAATTTCGTTTTTATTCTTTGGTCGATTTTTATTGATGGAATTTTAATTAATGTCATATTTTTTGATGTTTTAAAATGTTAAAGAAGCACAAAAATTACTTAGTTCAATGCTATGGAAAGGGTGAAAATAGTTATCGGAAAATGTGATATACAGGGTGGTCCGAATTGTATTCCGGAAACTTTGGCAGCATATTCTGCAGATAAAAATAAGTAAAAAAGTTCGTATAAATGTATGTCCTAAAATTCTTAATTTCGGAGATACAGGGTGTAGAAGTTTCATTTTTATTTCGGTTTTTTCCAAATAATTTCTGATGTAACGTCAACATTTGGATGAAAATTGGTGTCTGGGAGTTTTTTGATATGAGAAATTTGATTTTGATGTCAATATTACTCCTTTTGTAGGGGGCGTAAGAGTAATAACTTTTCGTCCTTACCTGTATAAAATTACTGAGTGAAAAAATATAAATTTCCATTACTTTTTACGTAAAAAATGTCTCTTGGTAAAAATCGCTACGAGCAACCGTTCTGAAGATACTTAGAACGGAAATAGTCAAAGCATGTCATTATAATGACAAGAAATAAACACGTTGAGTAGATAGTTATTTGAGTGAAATAATAAATTTGGGAAATTTTTATTTTTTTTATATTAATCATAAATTTTTCTACGAAAAAACATTAATAAAACAGTTTCTGTTGAACTTTTGGCACAAAAACATTTAAAATTTATGATTTTAGTCTAATAACTATTTAGTCAATATGTTTAATTTATGTCAATGATGACAGGTATTGATAATTTAGAATCCAAATATCTCGAGAACCATTACTCGTAGCGATTTTTACCAAGATACTTTTTTTGCGTAAAAATTGTCGTAAATGTGTACTTTTTTAATCAGTAGTTTTATACAGGTACGGACGAAAAGTTATTACTCCTCAAAACAGTTAAAATACATGTAGGTGGCACCGAGGGTGGCACCCTCTACAAGTAGGAGTCATCAAAATCAAATTTCTCATGTCAAAAAACTCACAGACACAAATTTTCATCCAAATATTGACGTTACTTCATAAATTATTTCGAAAAAATCGAAATAAAAATGAAATTTCTACACCCTGTATCTCCGAAACTGAGCATTTTAGGACACACATTTATATGAACTTTTTCACTTATTTTTATATATGCAGAATATACTGCCGAAGTTTCCGGAATACAGTTCGGACCATCCTGTATATACTGCATATCAAAGAGTGAAATCGAAATTATATTACCATAGAAACGTGATTTTTTAGGATTGGGAGAAAATTCTACCATATTTTCATGTTTTTTTTTATTTACAAGTGGTACCACATTACAATACCATTTCCTGGCGTTCGATTTGGCTTAAATTTGGTATAATGCATATATAATATAAATTAAATTTTGGTTTTTTCTTATTTTTTAATATATTATATAATTTTAATTGAATAATTTTTATAAATCTAGATTCCTATACTCTTGGAACTCAGGAGAATATTTGAGGCGTCAAAACCCGCCTTATCCATTTTTTTTAAATTGCCTAATGACATATATTAATAGTGGACCCTGAAATCTACATAAACGTAATCTCAAACTGCCAGTAACAGTCGCCTATTCCTATATAACCTTCACTAGAAATTACGTTATTGCAGCAAAATGCGTCTTATCCACTTATATTTGCTTTTTATTGTCATTATTGTTACAAATCCCGCATTTTTTCATAAGCTTTTTACACAAGTACAGTATTTTACTACTGACGTCTTTTGAAATCTTTACTTAATTTTAATAAAATAGTATATTTTATAAATCAAGTTAGAATGCAAATACCGTATGGTCGAAAAAAAAACGGCATCCAGTTGGCTAGGAAATGACGATCGATGACATTTCCCCTAAAAATTTACATATAAAATGACAGCGTCCTTCATTTCATAGCCAATATGTGTCATACTGCAACAAAACTCGCCTTCTCCGAATTATTTTTGTATTTTTTTCTGTTTATTAATTAAATATTAATTTTTATTTTTAGAGAAACGAGATACAAAACAATGATTCCACTCAATGGACACTTTTTTTTTGTAAATTAACGCTTCAAACATTTGCTAAAACAGTTTTTGCTTATTATCACGAAAGAACGTTTGTGGGATAAGGCGGGTTTTGCAACTTGACGCCTCATTTCTATCCGTGTATATGCTAAGTCAAGAAGCTTGCAATATTGCAATATCTAAATCGATCGATATTTGGAGAAAAGCCGACAACTATTTGTAACAGCGCTCTGATAAAATATATAAGAATCCGCTGTCATCTGTCGTTGTGAATTGTGCAGCAAAAGTGGCCGCCACTCCTTAAACCGAATCTTTTATTCATCGCCAATCTGAAAGCGATCGCATTATACGGTGGCGGGTGTATTGGGGTTGGACGACGAGCGACGTCTGCACCGAGAAGAGAATTCCAACTTAAAT